GAGCGACTTACAGGATCGCTATGTTGTTGCAAGTGGATCACAATCAATTCTTTATATACTCGTTCCACAATGTGAACTCAATCATCAGTAACGAGTTGGCAGAATTGGACAAGCAATTACAAGGGCCTGCATCCATACAGTGCAGTACTGTCAATACTGTAAATAGTCTGAAAAGGTGGTACATGGGACCATAGAAACGGTGTCTGATAAAGAATGATGATGAAATATTACCTCCATAGATAATGTAGTCTAATTGATTCATGCTCCACGCTAATTGGTGACAATGAATCTCATTATCTTGAAACTTTCATGATTTAAACATGTAATATTGTTTGTCTGTTTCCATACAACTATGCATTAAGAGTAATGCAACAGTTACTTATCATTTTGAGCAGTTGTATCAATTGATAGTTGGATAATTGTAATGAAATGAATAGACACTCATCTGAAATGTAATGTGTGAATTGCCTTTTGAAATAGTAGTACTTTGATGTTAAGTTGTGTCATGTTGAACAGGTGATTTTTGTAAAATGAACAAATGATCTTAGTTTTATGTGTATTGTATCCAAGCAATTGAAAAAAGCGTTAGAGTTTTGAAAAATGTGCATTTTGATCATTGGTTGTGAGTTTTGTGTCTAGAGTTTTTGAAAAATGACGTCAAGGTTCTGAAATTAGTGCCAAAGTGATTGTAAAAAACTGTAAAAGCCTGTAGTGGTCAATCTTGGCACAGTAGAGCAGGACAATGTCTCCCCCTGCTGTCTGTCTGCATGAACTACACTCCTGAACTCTGTCCTCTACCATTGATATAGTCTGCAGACGGGTAAACATTTCCAGTAGCTAGCTAGATGGAGCTTATGAAGGACATGTTCAATTAGCACTGGTTCCAATCCAAGTGCCAGTTTTCCCCTCCCCACTCAGACCACTCCCAGACAGTCCTAGCAAAATTCTTGCTTGAGAAATTGCTCTTGGGTAAGAACCTATTTTTGTTTCTTTTTGACCATTCTAATTGAAAACAATCACATCAAGGTACCTAATTGTTACCCAGAAATGATTCGATATTGAGATAAAAAATGGCTGCATTGGACATTTAATTGACCACAAAATCAACATTTTGTAATGGCCTTCTCAGTCTCCGGACTTGAATCCCATTGAAAACCTGTGGTTTGAATAGAAGAGGGCAGTCCATAAGCGCAGATGAAGGATATCAAGGATCTGGAAAGGTCCGCAATGGACTAAGATCCATCCCAATGTGTTCTCCAATCTCATAAAACATTTGAGAAAAAGGCTCAGTGCCGTTATAATCGCAAGGTGAGGTATTGAAAGGTATTGAAAACAGGGGTGCCAATAATGCTTGATTACTTGTTCAACAAAATATCTTTCACTGGGTAATTGCATTAGTATAAAATAATATAATTGTCCAAAAAAATGGCATACAATATAGCTCAGTATTTGCATTATTTATTTTATACAGAATTTTGTGCTCTTTATCAAGGGGTGCCTATCATTTTAGACCTCACTGTATATTTAACTATAGCTTTTCAATATAGTCAAATACTTCCATTAATTATAACACGGAAATAGATTACCACAGTTCTCTTAATAGCCTATCTAGTCATTTTTGACCAAATTTGGTAGCCTATGCTGTTGGATACACTTTCTGGCCGTGGGCATGGTTGTTCATGTGGTGGTTACAATATATCAATGATCAAACATTCTCATAAAAGATCTGCAGTGAAGCTGTGGGAGCAAACCAGCTGGGTACAGGAATATACATAATTTTTTATATGCAATTCTGAATGGATAGAGCATTTGATTACTGAAATATCAGCCTCAATTTAAATTCAGAGTTGCTTTTTTTTCTTTCTGAGTGCTAATCAGGGACATTTCCAGGGACAGGCCACCAGAAATAGGGAATGTCTGGTCACCTGACCCGCCTACCCAAACTCGTGATTTGTTGGGAGCGTTGTCTCTCCAAATTGTCCACGAAAATACGACATGATTCCTAGACCTAGTGCTGTTGATCTAGGTCTGGGATTTCACCATCATTGTAAAGCCCTAGTTATTTTTTTTTTTGAAGATTATTATTTATTTCATGTGATTTTAGTGATTAATTTACGTCTGTCCCTCATTTTAAGGTCAATGCTGTTACGTGAACTGAACTCTCTTTTTAATATGGTGAAACTTTTCCTTTTTACATGTTTTTTTCAAAGGAAACATTAAACATCTAGTAGTAAAATCCTAGTGTAAAAAGCAGATCAGCTCGTTCTACTTTTATTTACTTATATCTATAAAAGGTATTTACAAAATAAATCCAGAAAATACTGTTTTGAATACAAATCCCGCCTTTGGGACGACTCCCATTGTTAGGGTGGAGACAAGACCATCTCGTCATTAAATACAGCATCTCTGGTTAAGGAAGGATCACATTATTCCATCCAGGTCATCAGGAGCGCTCAGCTAATGGGCTTATTTGACAGTGCAGCTGACAGTGCAGGCGACTGCCGACTGACTGATCTACAAATCACCCTGCATCATAAATAACGACTCATTATTATTATTTGTATATCAGTCAGTCAGTCACAATTTGCCCATGATACATCACGGTTTTGATGCTCAAATATTCCATAACTGCAGGTGGCAGTAAATCGCCAACCTTGGCTTATACCTGTTCAAACAACACACTCCAGGTGGCAGTATGGATGCTTTCAGTTTGTGTACCAACTCATAGAAGTAGTAGAAGAAGAAAATGGACTACTTCAAAATGGACATGGCCTCAATTGGGCTGCCCGTGTGCTCACAGATGCCATAATGTGACAGATACATAGTCCATTAGTTAGGAAGGTATCTTGGCTGCGTAGATACAATTTTGCTGTTGTAAAGCTAATTTTCTGCAATTCTACACATTTTTTTAAATTAAGCTGAGAGAATATTTAGCAGTTTTTAAGCAAATTTCAATCAATTCTACACAGTTTGGCATGGAGCTGAGAGACAATTTTGCAGTTTTAAAGCTTATTTTCCTAAATATATATATAGTTCAATGTCTTTTATTTATGCTTTCTATCTGGTTTTGGTTGTATAAGTTGACACAAACTGTTTTTCCATCCCGAAAATGACCACTTAGACGGCCCCGCCTAAGAATTTTCTATACAGAGAAAGCCCTGTAATGGGCTCCAATGACTGTAATTTCCTCCGTATTAAAGAGATAGTTCAACATTTTGGCAATGAAGCCATTTACACTACATTATCAAAAGTATGTGGACACCTGCTTGTCGAACCTCTCATTCCATTTGACTGCTTAAAAATGGCGGAAGCGTGATGGAAGCCTTAGTGGCGCTGCCGATGCTAAAATGGCCTTTTGGCCACTAGAGGCCTCTTTCATTCTCTATGGCTAGAACATAACTTTAGCACGCAGGTGAAACAGGTATACCTTTATACAGATGGCCCCTCCCTATAAGAGCTCTGCTACCCGACCCTGACAGACCCCGACACTATACTGTTACAGGAGAGGGTCGCAGTTCCGGAGCGACCCACTAGGTGTCATCCTCCGACAACCTTAGGCACCTCCTCACTCACAGTCTGGACTAATCAGTGTCCTATTGGTGTCACTTGTGTCTACCTGCTCACCTGTGTATTTATGCCCTCAGTTCCCTGTGTTCCCTTGCTCAGTTTTCTCTGCTAGTTTCTCTATGTCCAGCAGTACTACTCAGTGTCTGATCGGAGATCTATGTACAGGTACTTGAGAAGTGTTCTCCCTGTTTCGTTATTTGTTTCAGTCGTAGGTAGTATTTCGTATTTTGGCTGTCAGACGGTTTTTGGAGACTTATTTGCTCCGCCTTTCTTTTATCATGATAAGTCTGTTATTTTGTATTTTGGCGTCGGGACCACCAGTAAAGATCCTTGTTTCACCATCTCTGCCTACTGCCTACTGTATATCCTGCACCTCACCTGGGTCACACCTCACACTATACATCAGGTTAGTGCCTGTTTTTTCATCGATAACTAGGGTACGGGCAGGGCTCGGGTATCACTAAATTGATCACTAACATTTTGAAGCTGAGCCATTTGCTCGTACTCTGCTGCGCAGTACAGTCACATCTGACTAATATCATAACATGGTGTCAGAAGTGTTTCAACCTCGTCAAATATAAGAACAGAACATTGTCAACAGGAGAGATTATTTCTCAGAGAATAATAACCCTCCTTGAGTTGTCGGAATTTACAGTGATGAAAAGTAGCTAGCTAACTGCTCTCCCAAGTCTCGTCATTGAGCACCCAAAGACATTTTTACATTTTAGTCATTTAGCAGACGCTCTTATCCAGAGTGACTTACAGTTAGTGAGTGCATACATTATATATACAGTATATATATATTTTTTTTTTCATACTGGCCCCCCGTGGGAATTGAACCCACAACCCTGGCATTGCAAACGCCATGCTCTCTACCAACTGAGCTACATCCCAATGACAGAGCCATTGATATGCATACTCACCTCATTAACATCAGGACGGAATTCCGTTGGCCGTACGTCATTTTCTTGCAGTCTTGCTCCGCTACTGGTTGGACAATATCAGACACGACAACAGATGCCAGAGAGACAAATGTAATTTCATGTATAAAATGTCAACTTACTTAATAATAATAATCATAATCATAAATATAATCAAAATAATAAACTTTATTTGTATAGCGCTTTTCAATACAAGTATTAAAGTGTTTCACATCCTAAAATAATAGATAATAATTGTAAAAACTGTTCACAAAGATCAGGGGACGCGAACATGTCACTGTTAGGGTGGGCACCAACAACAAGCTCAATTGTCTTGAACAGGATTTTTGAGTTGTGGCAGATCTCAGAGATGAGGAAGGAAAAGTGGTTTGCTCTTGAGTCTTTAAAACTCTACAGTCGATGTCCGCGCCCCAGGCGGAAGTCTAATTAGCGTAATATAAAAAAATCAGCCTGTTTAAGATAGAGATATCTGGGTTTTGCCTGGGCTGCATCTCATGGGTTCTCCCTGACCTCTGCCTTGTTCTTGATGACAGAGGAGAAGCGGACCAGTTTTATCTCCTTGGCTTCCCGTCCTCTAGCGTCGTCCCACACATATTCAGGTGACAGCAGCTTGGTGGGCTTATTCTTCACCAGGTACCAGTTCAGATGACTCTCCTCCTGCCACACAGCCTCCACACCCACTGACTTATCCACCTAGAGGGAGGGGGTGGGGAAGAGAGGGGGGAGGGGGGGGAGAGAAGGAGGAAGAGGGAGAGAAGGGGGGAGGGAGAGAAGGGGGGAGGGAGAGAAGGAGGAATAGGGGGAGGGATGAAGGGGGTGGGGAAAGAGGGGTGGAGATAGGGGGAGAAGAGGGAACGGGGGATTGGGTGAGAGAATGACTGAGTGAGTGACTACGGAGGGGGTTGAGAGAGAGTGAGTGCCTGCCTGCCTCCCTGCGTCTGTGCCTACGCGTCGGAATGCATGCCTTTCTGTCTGCATGACTGTCTGTCAGGTATGAGTGTGTGAGTGTGTGTTTGCCTGCATGAGTACCTACCTCCAGGTGCTCCCTGCACGTCTTGGTCAGCCTGTGAACATCCTCCAGCGCTCCTCCGAATATGTTGGCCTGGTAGTAGAAGTCTCCCTGGTCCAGGGGTACATAGGCTGTGGAGACGGTTCGCCGCTCGTAGGGGTACTGGTTCCGGGGGTACCAGTAGAACCTGCAAGACACAAGACAATTTTGTATTGTTACGTAACCTTTATTTAACCAGGAAAATACCCTTACCAAGGTCAGGGTGAAACTTTATTTGGATAGTCTGTAGAGCACCTACAGATGGACAAGCTACAGACTATCAGTAACATTTCAACTAACTATCTACTAACCCTAGCCCTAACCCTGAATTTAACCCTAGCCCTAACCCTGAATTTAACCCTAGCCCTAACCCTGAACTTAATCCTTACCCTTACCCTAGCCCTAACCCGTACCCTTACCCTAACCCTTATTCTAAACCTAACCCTAAACTTAGCAAGCAGTTGCTTATCAACAGATAGTTTGTTGATAGTATGACCACCTGTAGAGTATCAACAGATGGAAAATCCATGTCACATTTTCTGGCCTATCCAGACAAAGAATTGATTTTGTCTGCTATGGAGCCCAGCCTGGGAGACAGTATATTAAGGGGGGCAGTCTAGCGAATCCAGGAGTTGTGGTTTCATCTCGCTGTGATATTCTCAGCCGTATTTAGAGCTCTCAACATGAAAAAATACTAAATAATTTCGTAGAATTGAAACACGACCATTCTCGTGGTCACAGAGGGACGAAAGCTGATGTTATAACGAGTCTGCAGACATTCAAAGGGTGTCTCTGCGTCGCTCAGAGAACCTGGTAGAAAATGCTCTGTCGTCAGTTATATGAAATGGGGACTAATTTGTACTGTCACTAAATATGATCTTATTTGTTTTACAGTTATAAGAAAGGTGAAATCTTATAGCAAGTCATTTATAATTTGATTGTTACTATATTTAGAAAGCATTTCAGTCGTTTCAAGCCCTATTCCCCCACTTTCGTTGAATAGAGAGAAAATCATATATAATTGTAATATTTGTACTATGTTTCTTGAGATTGTGTCCTTAAATGTGAAAAATGTATAATTATGTTTACCAGAAAGGGGAGTTCCAGACCTTTCTAGAACTATGCAGCATTACTAGTTATTGTTTATGTCCATCTCATGAAAAACAGTTACTTTTGGGTATGTCTATTTAGGAGTAAATCTACATTTCACCATTGTGTTCAAGTTAAAGGAGAAGTTATATTTTTTACAACCAATTTAAAAATACACTACTATGTGGACACCTGCTCCTCGAACATCTCATTCCAAAATCATGACCGTTAATATGGAGTTGGTCCCCCCTTAGCTGCTACAACAGCCTCCACTCTTCTGGGAAAGCTTTCCACTAGATGTTGGAACATTGCTGCAGGGACTTGATTCCATTCAGCCACAAGAGCATTAGTGAGGTTGGGCACTGATGTTGGGCAATTAGGCCTGGCTCGCAGTCGGCGTTCAAATTCATCCCAAAGGTGTTCGATGGGGCTGAGGTCAGGGCTCTGTGCAGACCAGTCAAGTTCTTCCACACTGATCTCGACAAACCATTTCTGTATGGACCTCACTTTGTGTCGAACTGCCAGATGGTGAAGCATGATTCATCACTCCACCGCATGGTGATCTTAGGCTTGTGTGCGGCTGCTCGGCCATGGAAACCCATTTCATGATGCTCCCGACAAAGACTTATTGTGCTGACGTTGCTTCCAGAGGCAGTTTGGAACTCGGTAGTGAGTGTTGCAACCGAGGATAGACGATTTTTACGCACTACGAGCTTCAGCACTCGACGGTCCCGTTCTGTGAGGTTGTGTGGCCTACCACTTCGCAGCTGAGCCGTTGTTGCTCCTAGATATTTCCACTTCACAATAACAACATTTACAGTTGACCAGGGCAGTAATAGTAGGGCAGAAATTTGACCAACTGACTTGTTGGAAAGGTGGCATCTTATGACGGTGCCATGTTGAAAGTTACTGAGCTCTTCAGTAAGGCCATTCTACTGCCAATGTTTGTCTATGGAGATTGCATGGCTGTTTGCTTTGATTTTATACACCTGTCAGCAACAGGTGTGGCTGAAATAGCTGAATCCACTAACTTGAAGGGGTGTCCACATACTTCTGTATATGCAGTGCCTTCGGAAAGTATTCAGAATACTTGACATTTTACACATTTTGTAATGTTCCAGCCTTATTTTAAAATTGATTAAAAAATGAAATTTAAAATATAATGCCCAGCAATCTACACATAATACCCATGACAAGGTGAAAACGGGTTTTTAGACATTTTTCCAAATGTATTAAAAATAAAAAACTGAAATAACTTGACTGGAGTCCACTTGTGGTAAATTCAATTGATTGGACATGATTTGGAAAGGCACAGACCTGTCTATATAAGGTCCCACAGTTGACAGTGCATGTCAAAGCAAAAACCAAGCCATGAGGTCGAAGGAATTGTCCGTAGAGCTCCGAGACAGGATTGTATCGAGGCACAGATCCGGGGAAGGATACCAAAATATTTCTGCAGCATTGGAGGTCCCCAAGAACACAGTGGTCTCCATCATTCTAAAATGGAAGAAGTTTGGAACCATCAAGACTCTTCCTAGAGCTGGCCACCCGGCCAAACTGAGCAATCTGGGGAGAAGGGCCTTGGTCAGGGAGGTGACCAAGAACCCAATGGGCACTCTGACAGAGCTCTAGAGTTCCTCTGTGGAGATTCGAGAACCTTCCAGAAGGACAACCATCTCCGCAGCAATCCACCAATCAGGGCTTTGTGGTAGAGTGGCCAAACGGAAGCCACTCCTCAGTAAAAGGCACATGACAACCCGCTTGGAGTTTGCCAAAAGGCACCTAAAGACTCTCAGACCATGAGAAACATGATTCTCTGAATGCCAAGCGTCATGTCTGGAGGAAACCTGGCACCATCCCTATGGTGAAGCATGGTGGTGGCAGCATCATGCTGTGGGGATATTTGTCAGTGGCAGGGACTGGGAGACTAGTCCGGATTGAGGCAAAGATGAACAGAGCAAAGTACAGAGAGATCCTTGATGAAAACCTGCTCCAGAGCGCTCAGGACCTCAGACTGGGGTGAAGGTTCACCTTCCAACAGGACAACGAGCCTAAGCACACAGCCAAGACAACGCAGGAGCGGCTGCGGGACAAGTCTCTGAATATCCTTGAGTGGCCCAGCCAGAGCCCGGACTTGAACCCGATCGAACATCTCTGGAGAGACCTGAAAATAGCTGTGCAGCAGTGCTCCCCAATCAACCTGACAGTGCTTGAGAGGATCTGCAGAGAGGAATGGGAGAAACTCCCCAAATACAGGTGTGCCAAGCGTCATACAAAAGAAGACTCAATGCTGGAATCGCTGCTAAACGTGCTTCAACAAAGTACTGAGTTAAGGGTCTGAATACTTATGTAAATTTGATATTTCCATTTTTTATTTTTAATAAATTAGTAAACATTTCAAAAAAACTGTTTTTGCTTTGTCATTATGGGGTATTGTGTGTAGATTGATGAGGAAAAAACAATTTAATCAATTTTAGAATAAGGCTGTAACGTAACAAAATGTGGAAAAAGTCAAGGGCTCTGAATAATTTCCGAAGGCACTGTATGTCAGCAACGGTTATGGCTGAAGTAGCCAAATCCACTAATGTGAAGGGGTGTCCACATACTTTTGTATATATAGTGTATATACTGTACATGTAAATAGCATGTTATAGAAGGGTCCAGACACCTTTTTTGACCATTCTATAACATGCCATTTACTTCATAAATATAGATCTTTGGTTGTAAAAAATGAAACTTCTCCTTTAAGTAAGTAGGTAAGTAAGTAATACCAGGGTTGGATGCTGGCCCTTCAAGTAAGTATTACCAGGGGTGGATGGCGGCCACCAGTCTCCCCAGAGCCTCTGGCCCCACACGGCCATGGAACCTCATGTCTACATCAAGGCAGAAGATGTAGTGCGCCTCCCGGTGGATGTGAACCTCAATGGCAGTCTGCTCCCAAATAGATGGTTGGTGGATGTTCAGTAGAATTTCAATCAATCAATCAAACAAACAACAAACAACAAATCAATCAAATCAATAAATCAAACAAATCAATCAATCAAACAGTCAAACTTGATTGTCCTCAGATGTAAATTTGGTTTGCAGGCAGGGGTAAGATGATAAAAATACACAATCCACCGTCGACAACATTTCAACTTATTAGTTTGCACTAACCCTAACCATATAGGCATATCCTCTTAATTAACTGTAACCCTAGAAATATGTTGCCTATTATCAACAGTTGATATTTTGTTAATAGTTGGGACATCTTTAGGGAACCACTACTAATACATTTTTACATTTTAGTCATTTAGCAGATGCTCTTATCCAAAGCGACTTACAGGAACAATTAGGGTTAAGTGCCTTGCTCAAGGTCTCATCAACAGATTTCTCACCTAGTTGGCTTGGGGATTCAAACCAGTGTGTAAGGGTTGGTGTGAGGTGTGACCCAGGTGCGGTGCATGATAGATAGTAGGCAGTAGGCAGTAGGCAAGGATGGTGAAACAAGGATCTTTACTGGAGGTCCAAAAGCCAGGATACAAAACAACGGACTATACATGATAACAAATGAGGAGCACTTAGGTCTCCAAAAACAGGCTGACAACAAACAATACGAAATACTAACTCTGACTGGAAAAACACAACGACACAGGGAGAACACTTCTTCAGTACCTGTAGAGTGGGGAAAAAAGTATTTAGTCAGCCACCGATTGTGCAAGTTCTCCCACTTAAAAAGATGAGAGAGGCCTGTAATTTTCATCGTAGGTACACGTCAACTATGACAGACAAAATGAGAAAAAAAATCCAGAAAATCACATTGTAGGATTTTTTATGAATTTATTTGCAAATTATGGTGGAAAATAAGTATTTGGTCAATAACAAAAGTTTCTCAATACTTTGTTATATACCCTTTGTTGGCAATGACACAGGTCAAACGTTTTCTGTAAGTCTTCACAAGGTTTTCACACACTGTTGCTGGTATTTTGGCCCATTCCTCCATGCAGATCTCCTCTAGAGAAGTGATGTTTTGGGGCTGTCGCTGGGCAACACAGACTTTCAACTCCCACCAAAGATTTTCTATGGGGTTGAGATCTGGAGACTGGCTAGGCCACTCCAGGACCTTGAAATGCTTCTTACGAAGCCACTCCTTCGTTGCCCGGGCGGTGTGTTTGGGATCATTGTCATGCTGAAAGACCCAGCCACGTTTCATCTTCAATGCCCTTGCTGATGGAAGGAGGTTTTCACTCAAAATCTCACGATACATGGCCCCATTCATTCTTTCCTTTACACGGATCAGTCGTCCTGGTCCCTTTGCAGAAAAACAGCCCCAAAGCATGATGTTTCCACCACCATGCTTCACAGTAGGTATGGTGTTCTTTGGATGCAACTCAGCATTCTTTGTCCTCCAAACACGACGAGTTCTATTTTGGTTTCATCTGACCATATGACATTCTCCCAATCCTCTTCTGGATCATCCAAATGCACTCTAGCAAACTTCAGACGGGCCTGGACATGTACTGGCTTAAGCAGGGGGACACGTCTGGCACTGCAGGATTTGAGTCCCTGGCGGCGTAGTGTGTTACTGATGGTAGGCTTTGTTATTTTGGTCCCAGCTCTCTGCAGGTCATTCACTAGGTCCCCCCGTGTGGTTCTGGGATTTTTGCTCACTGTTCTTGTGATAATTTTGACCCCACGGGGTGAGATCTTGCGTGGAACCCCAGATCAAGGGAGATTATCAGTGGTCTTGTATGTCTTCCATTTCCTAATAATTGCTCCCACAGTTGATTTCTTCAAACCAAGCTGCTTACCTATTGCAGATTCAGTCTTCCCAGCCTGGTGCAGGTCTACAATTTTGTGATCTGGTGTCCTTTGGCCATAGTGGAGTTTGGAGTGTGACTGTTTGAGGTTGTGGACAGGTGTCTTTTATACTGATAACAAGTTCAAACAGGTGCCATTAATACAGGTAACGAGTGGAGGACAGAGGAGCCTCTTAAAGAAGAAGTTACAGGTCTGTGAGAGACAGAAATCTTGCTTGTTTGTAGGTGACCAAATACTTATTTTCCACCATAATTTGCAAATAAATTCATTAAAAATCCTACAATGTGATTTTCTGGATTTTTTTTCCTCAATTTGTCTGTCATAGTTGATGTGTACCTATGATGAAAATTACAGGCCTCTCTCATCTTTTTAAATGGGAGAACTTGCACAATTGGTGGCTGACTAACTGTACGTACTGCTTGACATCAAGGAACTAGCAGAGAAAACTGAGCAAGGGAACACAGGGAAGTGAGGGCATAAATACACAGGTGAATCAGATAGCCACAGGTGACACCAATAGGCAGATATCTAGTCACGACTGTGAGTGAGGAGGTGCCAATGGTTGTCGGAGGATGACACCTAGTGGGTCACTCCGGAACTGCGACCCACTCCTGTAACAGTGCCCTCGTGTTGGCATGGCGCCCGGCAGGAGATCGATAGCTCAGTCATAAGGCCTGTGAGGAGGGAGGCCCTTGGCATGCCTCTTACTAAACCCCTCCACCAGATCCCAGCGTAGGTCCACTGAACCCTGACGAGGAGGAAAAGTCTGGGCGTCTCTGGAGTTGGGGTTTCGGTTCCGGCTTGCTAGCACCCTCCAGATACCTAGCACCCTCCCGTTTTCCCGGCTTCTCCAGGCATGAGTCGCCGTGGTGACCTGCGTGGCCGCAGTTCCGGAAACGTCCCTGGGGCAGACCCTCTGCCTCTTCATTCAGGACAAGCGCGCTGCACCCAGCTGCGTAGCCTCCTCCTGAGGCGTCTCCTTCCTGAATCGGCGGAAAGACTCCGGGCTGATAGGGAGACACGGAGGCGAGCCTTGCGTCATGCCTCTCTCGTAC